GATGGCGGACGGGACAGGGGTGGCAGCAGCTTGAAGGCAAGATGGACAGGCGATGGGGGCAGGGGGAGGAGTTCCTCCCTGGCATGAACTGATTCATTTTTTTTGGGGGGGGGATATCATGATAGTTCATGGTTCATGGGTAGCCATAAACTACAAACCATCACAAACACCTGTTTTCCAGCTTGCTCCTCTCTATTGCCCACCACTACCAATTGCTCCCTGCCATACGTAGTCACAGGAGAATTTTGGTAGGTTGAAGCAGCTGTAGGGATCAGAACTGTATGTTCCATGGTTCCAAAGAACTTCTGGTCCAAGAAGAGACACAAGGGAGGCGAGAAAGGGGAGGAGTATGGAGGCACCACGTAAACAGGGGAAAGCCATGCTATCAGTTCAGTTACATGTAGAGGAGGCTCTTTAGGGCTGTGTGAATATTTTCCCCACAATGTTCAAGGCCACCAACTGAAACTTCTGGCTGTCTGCTGAGCTTTCTCTCCCACCCACCCCACCCTCATCTCTGTAAAGATGGCTCCAGTGTCCTCTCTCACAAAGACACCTCTTTGCTGGCCTATTCCCATGGGATAGTGGTAATTTTATACTTTCTTGTTATGTGCTGACTTAGCACCAAGTGTATAAATTAGCAACCTCTAAAGGTTCTGCCATTAACAGCCATGATCAGGTTCTGCAAACTAAAGGCCATATTTTTCTGTATGGAGTCTTACGGAGTCTTCATTTTTTTTCCTGCTACCTTCAACTTTTTCTAACATTTTAGTCTTTTCCATTGAGTCTTTTCTTCTCAAGATGTGCTCAAGGTATGGCAGTTTTTATCTAGTCATTTTCCTTCTGGAGAGATTTCAGCTTGACTTGGTCTGCCATCTCCTTGTTTGTATGGTGTTCCATTGTATAATACCACATTTCAAATGAATCACTTTTTCCCCACTGTCATCAAATCCCTATGATGATTAGCTTTGTGCTATAGTCAGAGGATTGAAAACAGCCTTCCCTTCACTGCCATGATCAGCTTTCCCTTCTTCTGTCCACAGCTCAGACATTTTCCACACAATCCCTGCTGGTTCCCTGGCAAAACAGATCAATCAGCACTATCAAAGCTATTAAAGTTGTGGATTAATAGTAAACAAATTAAGACTTCGCTAACTGAAGTCATCATGTTACTGCTTTGGCCCTCATTGGTTTAAACGTGAATAGATCAGCCTAATTAGTTAAAATAATTAGTTTATTTTGAGCTGTACATAGCAGCAAACAGTTCCACAGCTAATGCAAAATATTGAATATGAAACCTGAGACTATCCAAGTAATGTTTCTAAGAAGCTTAGTTCCTTGAAACTAGGGGATTACGTGTATTTATGAAGCTCCTGCAGACTAGTTACGCCTAGTCTAAATCTCTGCACTGGGCTACCTGCAACGTTCTGGATGATACTAGATTGTAATTGGCATCAGCCATGAGCAGCATAGACAAAGATGAAGGATGCTAGGATTTGTGCTCCAGCAATTTCTGGAGAGCCATACATTTCCAACCCCTTGCCCTATGATATTTTCTAAACAGGTGTAATCTTTACATATGAGGAAGGATAGAGAAAACAGGTACATTAAGTCCAGCTTCTTCTGTTGCATCCCCATCACCCTGCATATCCATGTGGGGATTTAGAATGGAAAGTCTTGTTTACTAGGGAAAGCTCATCCTGTGGTTTGGAACCCTGGAAACATAGGCCAGTGTCCTGTTTAATATTTATGTATGCAGGGGTCTGTCTTCAGATGCTGCTGCAGCACTCTGATGAATTGTGCAGTCAGGACTCATGACTGTATGCCACTTATAACCACATCAGATTTCTGCTTCTGGAGCTCTGTGTGTATAAATACTGAACAGAGTCTTGGCCATATGATGTTTACTCTAGTTAGAGGTATTTATGATCATTTAAATCACCATAGCTCCATCCTACAGGATCCTTGCATTTGTTGTTTGATAAGGTTCCCTGCTGAAGTTCATTTCCTAGCTCTCTGGGAAAGAATTGTAACTTTCTGACCAACTAACAAATTCCAGGATTCTCTAACATGAAGCCATAGCCATCCATGTGGTATCCAGCTAATATAATTGTGCTCTAATAGTTACAATTGTCTAGTGTGGATATGTGATTAGGATTCAAAATTACACAGAGAACCTCCATGGAGAGAGAGAAGCCCACCGTGCTCCAAACCGCCAGACAGTCACTCTCTCCTTCTTAAAGGTGATAGAAAAGCCAAAATGCCAATTCCCTGGTCTCCTTCCTCCAATGTAGAGATTGTATACCTTTAGAATGGCAATGATCAGTCCAGCGATGAGCATGGGTGAGAAATGCCAGTTTATGGCAGTACCTTCCTCTTTTCTCCTCCTATCCAAGCTATAATCCATTCTCCCCTGAGAGATAAAAATGTAGTGGCCATCAAGCTCTTCATGATACTTTCCAATGGCAGTTCCTAGTTCAACGAATGCTATATTCTGTTTCTTGGAACTGAAAGGATACTTCACCTGAAATGATGATAAAGCTGTTGGAAATCTGTGAATAGAAAGCTTTTTATAAAAGGCAAATGAAATTTATTGGGGGCTTGCAAAAAGGGTCCCAGAGGAACATAAATCTAAAACTTTCTTTTTTAAAACAACAATGGAGTCATACTTTTTCTTTTACTTGGAGATCTCTGTACACAACAACATCCATTTTGACATTGCTATATGGAACCAGCTGCTCAAGGAGAAGGCCGTTTACTGAAATAGTGGAGCTTCGTCATGTTCAGAGGGATTTAAAGCCACAAACACGATCCAACTTCAGGCAGTCCAGCTTTCAATGGCAAAATACTTAACACTGAGGTATTGGTAACAGTACAGTATTTACAAGGAAATATTTACACATATTTGCATACACACATTTTTAAAAGGCCCAGAGAGGGCACTCACAAGTAGAATGCAGTCTTACACATGACTACTCAGAAGTACTGTACATTTCATTGAACTATATGGGGTTATTCCTAGCCCAATATCCATAGGATTGTAACTATTGCCTCACAAATGACCTTTTAAGCTTTTAATTTGTACAATCTTCAAAATATTATGGTCTAATCAGCCCCATTGGCTGTACAAGGCAGGCACAGAGGAAGTTGTAATCCAGCATATTTGAGGATGTTGGGTTGTGGAAATATTGCAGCCAGAATAATGGGTGATAAATTGATCTACTTCCCTTGAAAGGTCAATAGAAGTTATCTCATTTCTGTCAGTGAGGTCACTACATCAACATATTGTTAACATATATTATATGGGGTTACTGATGAAATAAGATCAGTCTTAGTTGATTCCAGCCATTTTAGTACAGATTCTCTTGGAAAAATCAAATGTCTGTTAAAACAGATTGTCTGCTCAGCATTTTTTAAAAACTACATATCATATACTTACTTTCGAATTTATTATACAAGTGATTGCTTTAAAATTAATTCAAAAAAGAATTTAATACCTTTCCTGACATTTTAATAATAGTTTAATAGTTTAAAAGTTATCAGTGTACCTGTGAGGAAACTTTGTTCGAAGCACTAATCACCAAAAAATATTGCAGACTAATGGTATGAGTAATTCACATGAAGTACCTGCTTCATGACTGTTTACAATGGATATACTCTTGTGTTTTGTGCCAACAAGTGAGTTCTGACTTAGGGTGACTCAAGCAGATTTTCCAAGGGATATGAGATATTTAAGGAGTGGTTTTACTAGTGCCACACACCAGTGAGAGTCTACAGTCAAGCAGGAATTGTGTCTTAGTCTGGCTTCAAAGTTGAACTGGCATTTGTCTTTCACACAAGCCTCTTTCATGTTTTTTTTACAAAGGAGACATGATATTAATTTATTTTAATCATCCCAGACCATGACATAGAAGGATAGAGAATATTATTTTTGTCCATGGTGGGTGTGCAATTAACACGCCCATTTGAAAAGCCCAAATTAGTCACTTCCCTTCTCTCAGTGGTTACAATTCAAAATAAAGTTAGAGTTTCCAAGAGTCTGGAAATAATTTGTTAAAAATTAATCTGTTATCAATAACTAAAAAAAGAAAGAAACAAAGAAAAAAAGAAAAAAAGAAAAATTGCTTTCAAAATTTGTTGTTTTGATTCTTAAATATAAATAATGTTTTGATTGATTGATGTTTCAATGATCCATAGGGTCCCTTCCAGCTCTGTAGTTCAAAGGTTATTATTAAGGTTTCTTGTTATTTACTATGTTTCTGAGCTAAATGTGTAGCATTCATTGTCTTTAGCAAATAGACATTTCAAGGGCTTAATGAACCATTTTTATGACCCTTTTCTTAATTTTCTAATCTTAATAAATTAATTTCCTCAAATGAATTAATGTTGACATGATTGTTTAAAGAACTAACACTGACACTAGCTTTTTCGGTAGCTTTTTTTTTTCCTGTTTCTCATCAACACAAATTCCCTTCTTGTCTGTTGCTTTTCATAACCATGAACTAGTATCATGTCTTCACTGACTCTAATGAAGTTTCTATTCAGTGAGGAATACCATACCTCCATGACACGCCAATCCCATCTGATTTCGGGAGCTAAGCACAGTGAGGCCTACTTAATACTTAGATGAGAGACAACCAGGTCATACCAGGGATTTCCAGGTAGGCCTAGGAAACCCCGAAGCCCTGGAGAGCCCTTGTTGTCAGGCAGTGTCGATGGTATTGGGCTAGATGGACCAATGGTCTGAATAAGCCAGCTTCTAATGCTGAAGACTGAAAAAACATTGCACTGCAGAGGTAATACTAAACCGTTGCTAAGACAAAGGAAAAGGAATCATTCAACCTTGAAAGTGACTCCCAGTTTGTACACTATGGCTTACAGGGAGGCAGTATTACCTTTGCTGTGTAACTGCATCACTTGTAGGGTAGTAACTGTTCTTATGGGCAATGGAGAGCTCATAGACAGGACAGGCCCACCAAAGGTCTTACCCTGAAACTACCTCATCATATACTAGAGAGTCTTCTTCTTGGTACTGTGGGCCCTGCTAGGTTCACAGCAGGCACTTCCCCTCTCATCTCCCTATATCCAGATGTGTGGAAATGGCAGCTACCATTCACCCAGTTTTTCTCACTCTTCACTTTACAACAAGCTTCCATGCTAGGCATGGGAGGAGTCTCGCTCTTAGAGTCCAGAGAGCTTTGGTTTACGCTGAGACTCCCTGCGCTTTTGGAGGAGTAGCTATAAAGCATTTTCAGGAAGGCCGATTTGGTATTTGCCTCTTGCTTGTACAGGATAATGTAGCACTTGGGAAAGAAAGTACAGCACAGGATCCCATAGTTGGATATTAAAATGACAATGATTTCAACAGCTGGCAAGTATTTGCCGAAAGTAGTTGTGTAGACCGGGATAAATATGATCCATGCAATGAAGTAGATGAGCATGCCAAAGGTTATGAATTTTGCTTCGTTGTAATTCTCAGGTAGCTTCCTGCCTTTGAAAGCACAGATGAAGCAGATGAAGGCCAATAGAGCAATGTATCCTAACATGATCCCCAGGGCAACAGCAGAGCCCTCATTGCATTCCAGGATAATAACTCTCCGGATGGAGAAGTTTTCCTCGACAAAAGGACTTCGGACTGTGATCCAGACCACACAAATCAACACTTGGATCCCAGTGCAAAAGGACACAATGGGGACTGGTTTGTAGAGACCCTTCAGCAATTTTTGCAACTTGGGATCAAAACTGAAGGCCAGTAAAATTTTCAGTGACTTAATTAAGATGCAGGAAATGCAGAGAGCAAAGCTGATCCCAAAGAGAGCCTGCCGGGTTTTACATTTGTATGCTTTGGGTTTGCCAATGAAAAAGCACGTGCTGACAAAAGTGAGGAAATGGCAGAGGAGGATAACATAGCATACAGTTAAGCCGCCTGATGCCTTTACAACTGGAGTGTCCACGTTTTTAGTAAATATTATGATAATGGCGCAAATCAACACTATTCCGAGAGCGGACAGGACCAGTAACAGAACAGCAAACCACTCGTTCCAGTTGAGGTAATGAACCATCTTCCTGTAGCACATTGAACTGTTCACGGGAGCCCAGTGGGTTCTGTTGTTGCATAAGATGCAGTAATCCATATCTACACACAGAGAAACAGACATCTCTTGAAAACTTTGAATACATGCTATTGAAGCGCTTAAGAGAATTCAATCCTAGCCAGTTTTAATGAACTAGTCTCAAGGAACCAAATGCTTAGCATTATAGAACAATAATTGTGATAATAATTGTGATAAAGCTAAACTAAACTGTAGATAATAATACCTCTGTAAAATAAATATGTATTAGTCCTCTTAAAATATAGAACATATATTTTAAAGAGGACAATGCAACCTAACAAATGCATTATAATTTTAAAATTAAAAAGTAACATCAATGCATAACATCTAGTTGAATCAGTTTATAACTATCTGTTTCTATATTATAAATGGCTTGCTGTTCATTGCTTTGACATCTACTTTACAAAGAAGGTCAAGTTGACAGATTGGTTTTGATGCTGTAGCAGCAGCAAACAGCCCGTCAATATGGCATTACTTTTTTAAAAAAGTAAAACTGACAAATTGCAAACCAAGCCACCTTAAGACACTACTGTATGCCAGATTTATATAGCTTGCCCCCATTCCTGTTAAAACGTTAACCATTTGGCCAGGGTTGAAAGTCTAGTTCTTTAGACCAGTTCTAAAGCCTAGAGTTGGTTAGCCTAACAGAGTAATTAATACAAGAGACACATTTTTCTAAGAATGTCCCCTTTAAGCAAATTGGCCTTAAATGGACTATGAGCATAAGAGAAGGTTGCTTTTTTTTCTCTCACCATAATTTCCCTGGAACCTTGAACAATTACATAAATATTTAGTTCATGTAGCTGTTACTTCTAGTAAACCCTATAATAATTTATCTCTTTTTTATTAGTTCTTTTTTAAAGGCATACATTCTGTTATTTTAAAGCCTTAATTCATTCTAGTGTTTGTTTATTTTTCACCTGACTGATTAGTGTAATAGTTTTCAGGGCAGCTGATGCACTCATAGCAGCAGGTATGTGGGCTTGCTGAAACTTTCTTCACCTGTCCTGGGCTGCATTTCTGGGAGCATTTGGACTGAACGTTCTGCAGATCAAAGAAAGAAACAAATCCTTGAAGTTCCAACCATTAAATGAATTGCAAACCACATCTTCTTTATATAACCTTCGACAATTGCATTCTGTTGTGCCAGAAAATTCCACTGTTTGTGTATGTGAGCAACAGGATTTCAGCCGTGGTGTCCCCAGCCTTACAGAAGAGCCAGTCATGAAATGTGTGCACTGGTGCAGTGGAGCCAGGGCTTTCAGTGTCAATTCCAGAGCAGGGGTTTCTTTGTGCCCATCTACAAGCTCTTCTACGAGTGATGGCATATAAATTAATTAAGTATGTTTTTTAAAATAAATAAATAAATAAATAAAAGTTCAAAGTAAAAAGGCACAATTTCCATGGATATCAGTAGATAAAGTCATCAAAGTATACAGACACAAACTCAGACACTGATTGGGAAGTGACAGCACAAGTAGGTGGCGACTACATTGAAAAATAATGCATGGATTTTTTAGGACATGGGGGTGTGGTCTGAGTCATTGTTTTCAGAGAATTCCAAGGACATCTGGGTCTAGAACAATTGTGCCAATCAAACTTTGGGTTCACCCTCTTCCTCTCATTTTGCTTCCCTCTACACTGCTTCCCACACTTCCAGCTTTGAACACTAACCTAAATGTTGAGAGCAAGTTTATGTGAAGCTCCTGCAAGGATTTACAAGGGACTTGGTGGCGCTGCGGGCTAAACCGCAGAAGCCTGTGCTGCAGGGTCAGAAGACCAAGCATTTGTAAGATCGAATCCACGTGACAGAGTGAGCGCCCGTCGCTTGTCCCAGCTCCCACCAACCTAGCGGTTCGAAAGCATGCAAATGCAAGTAGATAAATAGGGACCACTTTGGTGGGAAGGTAACAGCATTCCGTGTCTAAGTTGCACTGGCCATGTGACCAGGAAGATTGTCTTCAGACAAAACGCTGGCTCTATGGCTTGGAAACGGGGGTGAACACCGCCCCCTAGAGTCGAACACGACCGGACAAAAATTGTCAAGGGGAACCTTTACCTTTACCTTTACCTGCAAGGATCTAATCACAAGGTGTCTCCACCTACCTTTAAATTCATGAACTCCATTTTGTCTTGTTCGTCAGCAAAGATGAAGTCATCTTTCTCTAGATCGTATTCAGCCATATTGGTAATCACCATCCGCCCATCAATTTCTTTCCAGAGTAGCACCTCGTAGCCTGTGTTGATGTCTCCATAAGAATCAAAATAGACCTCCTTTTCATCATCAGTGAACTTTATTTCTTTAAGTTCTTCAAGCAACTGCAGTAATGGAAGTGAAGAGCAATGAAAGTCATGGGAGGTGAATGCCATGCAGCAGCAGTCACAGATCAGAGCAACCCAGAGCTCACGAGTAGTATTTTTTTTAAAGGAACACTTATTGAGGCTACCACAGGTCTATACTCTGAACATGGGGTTTCCATTAAGCTATTATGATAACAATTGGGACCCACGACATGATGTCTGCTATGTGGCATGCTCCTGTTTAGCTTTATACCCAGCTAACCATTCCATCTTCCAAGATAACTGTGTTTGCTCGACTAGGTTTCCATTTCATCATCCTATGCCACAACAAATACTCAGTATACCCACATGCATTAAGCATGCTTAGTCCCCATTTAGCTGTTGGGAACTTTTCCTTCTTTTTGTTTTCCACATGTTTGTATCCTAAATACTTGTGCAAACTTCAGGAGTTCCTCAAGCACACCGATACCTCCTCCATCTGGTTTCTTCATTATCAGAAGGAGTGATAACTATTGATAGATCTGTTGTGTGATGCTCTTTACCACACTGAAAAATATCTGTTTTCCATGCATTTGTCTAAGGTGCCAACTGCATTGACAAATAATGCATGAAATGTCCCATGACTGGGGTGGTGGTCTGAGTCATATTGTTTTCTTCTTTACTACCTGACACACAAGTCAATGCAAATCAGCCCAGAATTTCCTCCATGATCTGGACTTTTTTTCTTCTCCTGCTGGGGCTCCTACTTTTTTTTAAAAAAAGAATCCAATGAATTCTTAGAGCAAGTGCGGGTGCACTAGGTCAACTGAGAACCAAAGGGGGAAAAAGAGCAAGGAGTCAGCAGGCAGCAGGGGAGAAATTGCTTATTAAGGTTGTTCTTTGCAGCATGTTACGGTAGCTCTGATGGAGTCCTGTCTGGAAGGACACTCCAGAGCTATCTTAACAAGCTGCAAGATTGATTGCTAAATTGCTCCTCTCTCCCTCCTGACTCCTTTGTGGGCAGCTAGAGTGAACTCACCTGAGTCCCCAGATGTAACTTCCTGGAAATTCCATTCACGTGTTTTTCTGCCATGTAATTGCATCCTAAGCCTACTGCTAAGCCATTTTATTCTGTGCTGATCAGTACACCTTAGAGTATCCAGTTTCATAAATGTGTCCTTATCACCATCACCATTGGTTTAGGTGTGGTTTGATGAATCACTTGTTACATTTGTCTTGAAACAATCGCTAATCAATTCAGCAATTTTGGAAGCGAGGGTTCCTTTTTCTTCCCCTTTTCCACACTATGGCTGAGATGCTGTTGGCATAACTATACCTATGGAAGGGTAATGACCTCATCAGTGGGGATGGGGGTGATTTTTAGTTAGTGAAGGGAAGGGAAAAGAGAAGGGGGGGGGAAAGGCAAAGAAAGAAAGAAAAAGAAAATATTGTAGAAATTCAGACTAACACTTTTATTTCAGTGTGAGCTTTTCTGGATGAAAGTCCATTTCCTCACCTGAAATAAAATTGTTAGTCTTCAAAGTGCTACATTATTTTGCCAACCCCATCTGCCTTTGGAAAGGTTTCAGTTCATGGTTACTCATCTGCAAATTTCTACCTCTGTCTCTTGACCTTTCTTGCTCCTGTGTAATGTAGGAAAGCTGCAGGATGGATTTCCAAAAATTGCCACCCCCACATGACATTATCCTTGTTCTGTCTTCTGAAGTATTAGCTACCTTCCCAGGTAAGTGTCATGTGAGCATTTTGTCAGCATCCTCACTGCTCTTTCTTCTAAAACAGTGGTTCCCTACTTTGGGTCCCCAGATGTTCTTGGACTGCATCTCTCAGAAATCCTGGCCAGCACAGCTAATGGCGAAGGCTTCTGGGAATTTTAGTCCAAGAATATCTGGGGATCCAAGGCTGGGAACCATTGTTCTAAATTACTTATCATGGTACAGATCATTTATACCTGCAGTTCTCCAATCACTGGGTGTCTTCAGGCTGAGGAGGAGTCAAATATTCTTTGGGCACACCCCATCATCTAGCTACGAATTAACAGTAACAGGGCCACAACTACAATGGAGCAATAGGGCTTTGCTCCAGGGCACCAGAATTTAGGGGGCACTAAAATATAGAAATAAACTTACTGATGAACGTTACAAAAATACATGATGAGACTTCCTGGTCATTTTCACTTCCTTACTTCCTCCCTCCCTCCCTCCCTCCCTTCAATACACCTTCTCTTCCTTTTCTTGGTATTTGTGTGTCAAGCCAGAGTCAGTGGAAAACAGTGCCCATTGCCCCAGCTGCCAAACTTGCCAGTCACAGCTCTGAATGGGAACATCATCAAGACCACATATGACCAGTTTGGGCATATGTTTCCTGAAGAGGTGCAAAGCAATCCTAACCCCCAAATACGCTCACCAATGGGGATTAAGGTGTGGTGGTAGTTAACCACTGTTGGAGCACCACTGATCAGGGGACTTGGTCTGCTAATGAGAACTCTAGAATGCCCACCATGGAGATCTATTGTCTTGAAACAAATAGTTTAAGTGGGAAGTGAAAGAACCACACAGGAGAGGGGCATTTTTTAAAAAACTGACCATTCTGGCTGGCATGACTGTCAGAGTTTTAGAACTGGTGGACCATCCATCCATCCATCCAAGCCATTCCCACACACCAATCCTAGTTAAGGCTGTATTGTAAAGCCAATCTTAAATTCAAAAGAGCTTATTCCCTAGTAAAAGTACTGGAGTCTTAAGTCGCCCTGAGTAGACACTGTCTAGAGGGGTGGGGTAAAAAATCAAATAAATAAATAAATAAATAAAAAATAAGTGGCAGGCCTACAGGGCATATGTAGAAGCAGCACAGAAGAGCACATGCAGGAATGAAATGAAAACATTTCTGGCAGTTGGTTGCCCACTGGACCAAGCCAGCTATTTCTCATAAGAAACAGAATACCCGTATTGACACTTTATGGTAAAACAACGACAACAAAACTTAACTGCATGTATGTATACACTTAAGTGCTCATACACTTATACTTACCTGGTAGGAGAAATACCATGTTCCCAATCACATGAGACTATGGCCTTACTATGTTCTCTCTCTCTTTCTCTCTCTCTCTCTTTCTCCTTCCCTCCCCCTCTCTCCCCTCCTCTGTCTTTCTCACACACACACACACACACTCAAACAACAACAAAAAGTCTTTCTTTTAGCACAAAAGAAAATATTCCTGCGCTGTTTGAAAAATCAATTTCTGATCATTTGCCTGATTCAATCCATTCCTGCCACTATCAATATCTTTCCAACCTGGTGGGAAAATAAAAAGAGGTCAGGGACCTATATTTCATCGATTTTAGAAGTGCAGAACTTTGTCTCTCCCCAACACCCGATAAGAGAACAATCTGTTTAATTTTGATACCTAATGCAAGTTCAGGCTCAAGGAAAACCAGCTGAAGTGACAACGTCACAGTTTGGGCAGATGACTGATGAGACGCGTTGAGCAGCAGCGTTTGCCTCTTTCAGGGGAATCCTCCTAACGATCGGGACACTAGTTTGCTAAGAGATGGTTGAGTATTGTGCCATTAGAGGCCATATAAAAACTGAGCAAACAGACAGAGTCAGCATAGCCATTCCTGGAAATAAAAACTAATTTGATTGAACTTGCTTGGGTGGATGTTGGCCCTGCTGTTAAATAGAATGGGGCAGCTGTCTCAGACTTTAGTATAAAGAAAAGGCAACAAATCACTTATTTTTAATGCCTCAGTTAATTAATTATCATTGTATTTTTACTTCTGGGGTGGCCTGAGGCATTTGTGTGATTTTTCTGCCCAAGGTGCCAAGATGCCTTGGTTGGCCTTGGCTATTTTAAGCACCCTGAATTGAGGGTGTGGGCAAAATCATTTGCTGTTCTACCTTAGGCGGCAAAATGCCTTGGACTGCTCCTGGCGTGACTCTTAGGTTAATCTTGTTAATAATCAGCTTTTGGAACCCCAGAAATCTCTGCCCCAGAAGCACCACCTTGATCCTTCATGAGTCTACCTTCTGCAAAATTTATGTAGGTTTCCTGATATGATGTAATTCATTGAGCTCTTGAGCAAGATAAAGTGAGGCCATGGAACAAAGTTTAAGAACAGATCTTCAGAACTTGTCAATGTTGAAGAAAAAGCTCTACATGTGTTGTTCCCACTGGGAAGTGTATTATATTTCAAGGGAATCACTTTTAGAGACTGATCAGGATTCTCATGACAATATCCAAAATTGTTTGGAAGAAGATTTAACAATTATAAAAATGCACATATAAATGTATTGACTTCTATGTTTTTAGGGGTGTCCTCTGCAATCTCAGGGAAAGATTCAGCCAGAAGTACAGAGTTAACACTACACTGAAATATTCCAGTTACCTCTTTCTGCTGATGGAACAGCTTCCATCAGCAGAACAGGGAGGGGGATGTGACTTCTGCTGTCCTCTGCTGACCCCTTTCACCTCCAAAGTTTGTTCTGAATCGTACTCTCTTAAAGCCATCCAAGCAAAATATGGGAAATTAAATGCACGTAAAGAACACAGAAAACCCTACCTCCCAAGGGGCAAAAGCATATGGGTCCTTGCAATTTCTGTCCTTGCACTGGTTCTGGATGGCATGTGCGATGGCATTCACTGCAAGCATGGTGCTATGGATAAATCCAGGCTCAATGTTGGCTATGAGAAATTCCTCTCCCCAAAGCTGGCTGCTTGGTGTAGTGCGGTTCTGTAGCCATTTCTCAACAGAGTAACTGGAGATGCACTTACTCAGATCCTGATCATTTATATGCGAGCAGGCTGACATTAGCATGGCGTATTCCCTTGAAAACTTGTTGTTTCCCGTGGGGCTGGTCTGTAGGTTGCTCAGGAACTGGTGGAAAGATGACAGGTTGCCGCTTTTGAATGTAAAACCGACCACTTTCCCCAGGCGGCTGATATTTGGAAGAGTGCTAATCTTGACAGCTGCCGACCAGTTATCACTTGCAATCCAGGTCTTATTTATGTTCATCTCAATTGCTTTTCTGAAAAGCCTCATTACGTGGAATTGCCTCAGAAAGACGACAATGACATTTACCCTGGTTTCCTTGACAATCTTCTCAAGGGCTTGATTAATTTTGCCGTGAATGGTGCTGTCTGAGAGATAAGCTGGCAACATTTCTTTAAATGCAATGCAGACATTGTTGGCCATGGCCTGTAACCCAAAGCTCTCCACAGCCAGGCGCCCAAAGTCATCATCTGTGGCGATGATTCCAATCCAGTTCCACCCTGACATGTGGATCAACCGAGCCATGGCCTTTGTCTGGTAGGAGTCGCTGGGCACCGTGCGCAGAAATGAAGGAAAGCGAACTTTGTCACTGAGGATCTCGGCAGTTGATGCATGACTCACCTAAAGAGGTGACAAAGCCATTTTGTTAAAGGAATATGGAACAGCTCTCAGCAGAGAACTACAGAAGCCATTAGTACCCATTCTTTAAGGGCTTCTTTTCAAGTGAATATGGGCTCAGTGCTGTGCAGAAATGAAGAAGCTAAAAAAAACACCACACATTTCCCAAATATCTGCCACACTATGTTACCCATTCTTTAAGGGCTTCTTTTCAAGTAAATATGGGCTCAGTGCTGTGCAGATATGAAGAAGCTAAAAAAAACACATATTTCCCAAATATCTGCCACATTATGATCTAGATCCCTTTGTGCTTTTCAACCCAAATGCAATTTGCATATATTTGAGAGGAATGTAGCAGGGCTATTAAATTTCTCATTTTGAAGATCTACCATCACAGGCTGTATTAGAAGCTACTACAAATGCCATGCTCTACATCGGAGCTAGTGCCACACATGGGTGTGGAGGGGACCTGCTAGCTACTGTGACAGTTTTGACATGAGGGAATGTTCAGTCATCCTATTGTCTTTAAGACAAAGTTTAAAAAAGGATAAGACCAATCTAATGCAGCATTCTTGTTCCCATAGTAGCTAACCAGAAACTTATGAGAAGGCCACCAGCAGGACACAAGTACAATTGCACCCTCCATTTTGTACTCCCCAGAAATGGATAAACAACAAATTTGGGGACTGGAAGTAATGTGTTATCTTTCATAATTACTAGGCACCGAGAGTCCCATCCTCTAGGACGGTGGTTCCCAACCTTGGGTAACCCAGGTGTACTTGGACTGCAACTCCCAGAAACCCCAGAGAGTACAGCTGGTAGCGAAGGCTTCTGAAAGCTGCAGTCCAAGAATACCTGGAACCACTGCTTATAGGAATTTGCTACATTCACATTGAAAGCCATTACCACATATTGTAGGAACAAATCCCATAGTTTTACTATGTGAAAGTTACTTCATTATACGTAATGTTTTTCATGAGCCATTGCATGATGCCTATGGCCTGACTAACCCCATGCTTGATCAGTTTGTCCAGTAACCTCTTAAAGTTTGTCTTCTTGGTGCATACCACCGGATTTTTGGAAAATCTTCCACCGCGTGCCTCATCTGCCTCTGATTTGCAAGGTGGGATGAATCCAAGAGGCAGTCTTATGCCATACACTGAACTTCAGCTATATTTTTGGGCAGGTAGCAAGACTGTATACATGTCTGGAATCATCAAGGAACCAAAGACGCATAACCTGAGCTTGCAATTGATACAATTTTGCAAGGTGAGCAATGACGTTTATTTTCAGAATGAAAATTGTTAATAGAATAAAATATTTCAAACCTAGTTCCTTAGAATTGTTGTTATAGTTTTTGCAGAGTGACGTTGGTTCAGGTGGTCCATTCCAACAATTCAAAGCACCATTTCAATTTCACAACAACTTAGCACATTTTTATTCATGCTGCATACTTGATTCACCCTCACCAATAAGAGTTGAGGCAAACATTACAGCTACCATATGGAGGCTGCTATTCACAACAATGTGTGACAGTAAAAGTCACATAGCAAAATTTCCTTCAGTGCTAGCACAATCCTATGAATATTTATTTAGAAGCAAATCACACTGAGTGCAGCTTGAGAGATCATCATCTCATGTCTACCTCAGGGCTGTTCTTGAGTCTGGGCAATTTTTGCCATAGGAAAAGTCTTCTTGATCTGATAGTGGGCCACTGCATATAAACAATTCAGCCCATGAGACAGCACTATGTACAATGATTTGGAGCAGGCTCCACATGCCACATATAATGGGCCCTTCATTCTTGAGAATCTTAAAATATATTTATATGCCTAAGCCTTGATACTGTATTGTTGGGTCTTTAAGTTAACAGGTTGTGTTTTTAAATTGCAATTCCACTACACAGAAATGGTTACTGACCCACAGACATAAAAACATGACTTCAGAATCAGGTGTCATGTTGCTTACCATAAATGGAATCTTAATAAGAGGTAAGGTTCCATTTAAAAATGACTAACTCCTAATCCGCTCCTCTGTTTATTTTTTGCCTTTATTCATATTTGATGTCCTCTTTGGCAACTGTCTGCTAATGCTGCTGTGGTGAATCAAGAATTACAGGCAGGGATAGATGAACAGAATCCTCTGATGCCAGCTGACTAGTCTACTCAGAAGTTATCAATATTATAGTGGCATATGGTCCCATTTTATCATTTCAGACCATAGGGGTGGATCATGTTGCTGAACTGTCCCTCAAAGTTTTCTAAAAAACAGGTGTCCTGCATGTATAAAACTTGACAAGAAACAAGGAGAAACATGGGATCAGATTTCTCATTGAAAAATGCTAGTATTCAATACACAAGGAGTGTTTATGTAGAAGAATACTCCAGCAGGATAGACTTGTGGTCAGAAGCGGTTAAGCCACAGGAGCAAAGATCCCACGGGTGTACCCTAGCTCATTCACAAGTTTATTCCATTGCTAATTATTTAATTAAAATATTCACCCATATTGGTTCTACTAATCTGATGCTATGACTAAAAATGAAAATACCCATCCAAAAAACCTACCTGTGGAATGAGCTGCAAATTCAGTATTCTTGCAACTGACATGGATACCTCGGAGTAGGTAGCCCCAATGACAGCTTTGACTCTGGGTGTGTAATCTGAATAGTCACACCTGAATTCCACCAGATCTTTCGATGCATTGTATTTGGATAAAAACCTCACAGCTGCGGCCATTGCCCTGGTGACCTCTGCGCACGTGTCATAGATTTCATATCCCAGTTTAATTCCAGGTAAGAAGGTTGAGTTGTTGATGATTTCAATCGCATGGATCATTGCAAGACTCTGAAGAAACACTTGCACTTCAAAACTGTCAGGAAGCACATTTAAGTCATTCATAAATACCTCGTTGGGAGCAATATTAACACAACAGGCAAATGACATGCAAGCCATTTGTGTATTGATGAGTGCTTGGCAGCATGCCTGGGTATGTGACATACAACAAGTACCATAGTGAGGAGCCAGTACCAACTGCATCTGCTGGAAGAGATGCAGAAGATGCTTTATAAATGCTGTTTGGACTGCATCCCTATGTCAGAGGGACGTTGGTGGATTGAAGCTCACAGCATTTTTTGCCACTGGTTATGCTAGACAGGGCTGGTGGGACTTGCAGTCCAATAACATCTAGTGGGCTTCACTCCTTATATATATTATTCCACTTTTCCCAATGTCTGAGATATTCCAAGAATGAAGCTATTAGCAGCCCTGAGTTTCTTTTGGAATGAGGTCTCTAGAGGCTTATGGCATTTTATAATATTTGGGTTTATTTAGAAATGTATAAATCAAGCCATGCTTCTACCTCAAATGCTCTAATGGACAACCTATCAAGCTTCTAACAATGGACCTCTGAAGAAAAGTGGACAGCATCTTCAAATACCATTTGATTACAAAGTCCCCAAACTCAGCTTTCTGCTTCTCTTCCAGATGGTTTCTTTTGTTGCTGAGTCACAACTATCCCTCTAGATTAGCAGTGAGGAATGTGTGGCCCTCCATAACTTGCCTCAACTCCCATCGGCCTCAGTTGCTTTAGCTAATGGTAAAGGACAGTGGAAACTGCAGTCCACCAATATCCAAAGGAACATCATTGCCACACCCTGACTCTAGATTGAGAAAAGGAAGGATTATTCATCTTCTATAACCAGTTTGCAATCTTAGTGGTTCATTTCACACAGAGCTTCCTAAATGTAAGATGTAGGTGCAACCGATTTAAGGATATTTGCTGTCCTTCTGGCTGACCCAATTTATGCTGCCCTATCAAAATTCAAAAGCAATAATACACCCTTGCTAAGAAACTATCTATGCAGACCTTTTAAAAAGAATATATTAACTGTTCCCGTGAAATGTATGAAGGACAAGATTCACAAAGATATGAGAACATGTACATCATGAGTTAAATAAAACACAAGATTCCATTATTTCAGCAAAATTAGCATTCTTCTTTTTACAACCTTTGTATCCTCCCACAGTCCTTCAGTCAATATGGACAGCTGGAGCATTCTGGGAGTTGCAGTCCCAAAAAAGTGACTTTTGCAAATTGTGCTATGAACTCTCTGTTTTGAAAACCCTTTGCAGCTTCCAAGTGATATTACAGAAAGACACATATTGAAGGCATTTCAGACTCATTCTCCCCTCCCCACCCTATAGATTGCATGTCCTACTGCAGCAATATCAGTAGCATGAAACATCTAATCAAAAACACAATCATTACAATCCTTTGCTAAATTATTTTCTAGAAAATCTTAAATATTCAACCCCTTCAAATGGCAAAACTATTGTCACTAGCATTAGCAACACAAACAAAGCAAAACAAAGATCATGGTGCAAAGCATTACAAAGGGCAATGATTTATGTCTTCAAGTCAAGACGTCAAGCATCTTGGGAGCCTTCTTGATTCCACATGCTATTCCCTCATTTTGCTGAGCCTAGAGCAAACTTTCTGAGATGAAAAATGCAGCTCCCTAGGCAGTCTTCTCCTTTTTTTGCAGAGGTGCTCCCTCAAGTTGTGAAAAACATGTCTGTGATAGTATACAATCTCTCTCTCTTATCCATCTTATATTAGCATGGCTTATTTTGTAAGTAGGGTGAGCATGAACTTAATTTGCTAAATCCATTTCATGTGGTAAGGCAAGGATGGGCCTAGTTTGGAAATCTGATTGCTGAGGCACTTTGAGGGAAACCCACTGGGGTGAGGGAAAATGGATTAATTGGAGGAAATACACTTTCTTCATAATACCTAATTTGACCTTGCACTAGATCCTCATTAGTACTGTCCTGTGGCATTAGCTAGTACTGTTCAGTACCTCTGTAATGGACATGGATGAAGGAGTAGAAGGGATACTCATCACATTTGCAGCTTATATCCAACTAAGAAAGGTATCTAATACCTCAGAAAATAAATGGGTCAAGACAGAAAGTAAAAATGAGTTCCTTCTGGAATAAATGTAAAGTTGTACATTTAGACAGGAAAAATCAGGTGTAAAAATATAGAATGGGTGACAACTGAATTGAAAATGAAATGTGTGAAGAGGATCTGTGGGTCCTAGTAGAATACAGACTATATGTAACTCAACAGTATGCCATAGTAGGGAGAAAGCTAAAGCAATACTAACTTACATCAATGTAAGAATTGTGTTCTGATCAAGAAATGACACCATTCCATTTTCCTTTGGTCAGACCTCACCTGATATACAGTGTCCACTTTTGGGCACTGAAGTCTAACAAGATTATCCCCAAACTGGAATATATCCACAGGAGCACAATGAGATTGTGAATGATGTGGAAATGAAACACTGCAGGGAAGCTGGGCATGTTAAACCAGAAGAATAAAAGATAGGTTTATGTGACAGCCAATTTCAAATATCTAAAGGGCTATTAGACGGAGCAAGCTTGTTTCTGTGACTCCAGAGGGTAGCACTAAAGTCAATGGATTCATATGACAAGAAAAGAGACTCCAAGTTCTCAACATTAAGAAGAATTTCCAGATGGCAAGATCTGTTCAACAATAAAACAGAATACAGAAGGTGGTCTGAAATTTTTAAATAAGGTTTGGAGCCACTTGTCATGGATGCTTTAGCTGTAGATTCCCTGCTTTAGCAGAGGGGAAAACTACAAACTCTTAGGAAATGAAAGCCTTGTCAACTTTTCAACGCCACAATTTTGTGCTTCTACACTATTTCACATTTCAGCAGTACAGTTGGAAGCTTTTTCTAATTTCTACAGTGCTGAAATTGACAAGGCTTTTATTTCTTACTCCACTGCTAAGAAGCTCAAGAAAGCATATATTTTGCCCCCTTCTCATTTAGTATGCAAGTAGGACTAAATTGGTATTAAGACTATAAAACTTTAACTGGTTTAACTAGTTGATCAATCAACTTGAAACTTTCTTTGATTTAAACTGGAAAGAGGTATCATTAGTCACTGTGGGCAGCCTTTAATCAAGCAGAGTTTGCTAGGAAGGGTAGATTTGCTTATTTTTGAGTCTTTTCTCATACTAACATTTCATTGAACAATGAGAATACACTAAGTCAGCTTTCATTCAAAAAACAAGAGGTGGCATTTGATTAATGAGTTGTAACAAGTTTTAATGTTTTATTGATTATTAATTTTAAAAGATGTAGCTATGTTAGGAGACATAAGTTTATTTAAACATAGATTATTAATTTATTAAAGGTAGATGATATGGGAAGTTCTCTAATCACCAAAACCTGTATTTAGGTGTAAGCTGTTAACATGACACGAATACTTTTCTAGATAAAGCACGCAACCATCTTACTAGCAAACATGTTACAGTCATAATATTGCTTCTTTCTGGAGTAATCATACCAAGGTTTCATCAGTATAAAGAATGTGAAGAAAACAATTCAAATTCCTCTTAAGTTTTCCTCCTAAAACCCTTCCATACACAAAAGAAATATGAAGGATCTCCCTGTCTCTGTGAAGCATGATAGAAAATAAACTCCTAGTAAGTAATGTATGGCTGCATTTTCTGAAAATCATACCAAATGACTGAAATCCACTAGTAAGTGGCAACTAGAGCAGGCCTACTAAATCAGTGGGGATTTGGTGAGTCACCTCCTTCATAAGTTCCACTGATTCAATAGGCCTACTCTGCTTGTGACTTAGTACTGGATTCCCACTACTGTATAAAAATGCCCCCTTATCACTTTGGGCCCTGTGATTAAGAACTATAAGTTATTTATAATTTCTGAAAGGAGAGAAGATAAGCATCTTCATCCTAGGAGTATGTCCCTTGTATTCAGTGGGGCTTAATTTGAGCAGGTAACTAGGTTTAAGTGACGATTTAGCCCACCCAGCTCAAAATGTGCTGGATATAGTGTTGTATTACATAGACAGTGTCTATTGAATACACCAGCTTGATCTCGTTCATCTTGTAGGATTAATGTCATGTTTACATGTGTTCTACATAGCACTAACCAAGATTCCATGGCAAGTCTGTTTTGCAAAAGAGGTATATGCCAATAGAATATTTGCACTGCAATCCTATGCATGCTTACTCAGACATAAGTCCATCTGAATTCACTCATTTACTCTGAGGCACATATATATGAGATTACAGCCCTAAAGGCACAGTTCCACAGAGTCTGGTAAACGTATTTTCCTCTGACTTTTTAAAAGAAACTGGGCATCTAAACATAGCCTTAGGATATTTATTTTTAGTGGCATGTGCAATATTATTTTATTCTACAGCATTTGAGCAAGGAGACAGCTGCAGCCCTACATATCCTTCTACATTTTTTCTGCACATCATGTACCCCCCACCCCATGCTTCCATACAGTACTTACACACACTTCACTCAGCTGGCATATAAAGCAATTTTTAAAGAAAAAGTAATGCATACATTCCATACATTGAAAGATTCCTCCCACTCTCATTTTTCATTCTGAGAAGCACCATTCAATGCTATATTTTTTTCTTGTTACTCACCCAGCACAACTGGCAATCACAGGTTTGAGGGGTTTTTCTTCTGGATGTAACATTTTGCCATGAACGGCAAACAAGCCTCCGATGACAACATCCCCAGGAGAGCTGGCACCCACAAAGTTATCAGGACTCCGACAAGACTGACCGATATGAAAGCCGATCGGGAAGACAGTAATCAACAAACCAAATATTGCCATGTTTCTGTTTCATTTGCTCTCTAGCTGCCTCCAGTCAATTAAGCAAGCAGCCACTGCCAATACGGTTCTTATTTCACCTGTAAACAACGTTGGAGGAAAGGGCTGCTCTGGAAGCCAGGCTCACCTGAACCAAATGCTGGTTACCAGCTCCGACAGGTTGTGCTGTTCAACTGATACCACTGTGGAGGAGTTATGGGGAGGGGTGAGCATATGGAAGAGAGAGAGAGAGGGAGAGAGAAAGAATGTCATAACCAATCCTTTCTACCAACCAAAAATGTACAATTCAAATCACTCCTAGGGTCATTGTTTTCAAGAATTCCAGGGAGCTGCATCCTGACCTTTGGAACTATACGGGTTGGGGAAGGACTATGGAAAAGAGTTTTTGTTACAGTTGTAAACATATTTTCTTCTCAATCCCTTTATTCAAATTTGAAATTTAACTTCCATTTCTTGCTTTTTCTCTGGATCTTTTCTCTTTGTTTTTACACTCCCTGTCCCTGGCATCTTTGAACAAGCTCCACTAAGTCTTCTTCCTTTCCCCACTTCACCTTATAAGATGACCATTCTTTCTTTCCCTTCCCTTCTCCAACAACTTGGTGGGACCTGAATTTTTAGCATCCCACTCTGTCTCTACCCACAGGACTCTTAGCATCATCTGTATATTCATCTTAGAGCAATCTATTCAATCACAGGAATCTCTTTGCTTCCTCTACAGATTCAGCTGGTCTCTGTATATTTTATTTTATATGATTTAAAGTATTTTTAACGTTCCCTTCTCCTTAAAAGTACTCAAGGCAGCTTATAACAATTAAGTGTTCAAGATCAGTGACAATGAGTATACAATACTAAAAGGACCAATGAATACAATACCAAAAAACACAAAAAACAAAAAACATAAGCAATACAAAAACACATTCAATGCAGTAAGGTACAACAATCCATTTTTTAACAAAAAAAAAAACCCTCACTTGGCAGCCATTCACTCAGGGAACGCTTGCCTGGGGAGAAAGGTCTTTGCTTGTGGAAGGACAGCAAAGATGGGGCCAGTCTAGCCTCTTGTGGGAGGGAGTTCCAGAGTCTTGGAGCCAGCAACAGAGAAGGCTCTATCCTGTCTTCACCAGGTGCACCTTTGAAGGTGGATCAATGCTAGAGTGGAAAGCCTCTACTGGTGATCTTAATAATTAAACAGGCTCATAAAGGGAGATGTGGTCCTTGAGATAGGTTGGGCCCAAGCCATGTAGGGCTTTATAGGTTCGAACCAGCACTTTGAATTCTTCTCCATGTTCCCCATGTTACCCACCCCAACGTTGCTGCCCTCTCTTTATCTCTTAGCTTTTCATTTCCTTCTATAAGTCTGCAGTTTTGCTTTCTCTTCCCACATATGTCTGTTCCTTTCACAAAACATCAAACTGTACCATTTTGTTGCACTAATCTTGTGAAGATTAATGAGTTCTATTGACCATTAGCTTTTGTGGGCCTGATCCTACTTTTTCATTGATTATTCTCCCCCCCCCCCCCGGTTTGTATCTGACCTTTCTCAGATGCTACGCTCTATGCATCTGAGAAAGGACTGGTGAGGTCAAAGTATACTGGAGTGGGAAACTTCTATAGGTCCAAGGTGCACATTCCCATACCCTCTCTCCCAGTACTTATTTTTCTAAATGTTTTCCCCCCTAGAAAATGCCTCATCACACTCTCTTTAGGAAGTTACAGAGATATAGGGCTTCCCGGAGTGTTTGAAACCTGAAATGTGGCAAAATTCTCTCTCATGCCCCATAGTGGGGCATGGGTGGACTTATGAGAGGGCAAAGTTGGTAATCAGTATGTATGTTTCTGCTGGAAACCCCCAAAGAGAGGTGGAGGCAGCGTGTAGCCAGTGGACTACGATTTGCCAACTGCTGAACTGAACATTACAGATAGCCCAGCAGAGCAAGCTAATTTGCAAGTTCAAGGACGTGTGAAAGGCTTGTGCTGTAGCTATCAGACATTCTTAGTACATAAGGAATTCCATCTTCTACTGACAGGTGATCTGCACAGTATAGTTGACCTGAATAGATTTTTCAAGGTGTGTGAGATCTTCAAGCTGTGGTTTACTATTGCTACCCTACAGTGAGTAAGGATTTGAACCCAGGTCTCTTGAGTTCTAGTCCAACACTGTCCATTGCACTTCATTGGCTTTCTACACCACACCCACATTTCTAATACATAACTGTGCTAGCACTGGGAGGATTGGCATAAGTTGAAAAACAAACAGATTCAGTCCATTCAGTTTCCTTTCTACGTCTCTCTCTCTCTCTCTCTCTCTCTCTCTCTCTCTCTCATTTTATTTATATAGAAGTGAGTTTGCCTTTTCCTGTGGCAGCAAGCTTGATGGTTTTAAATAGAATTATACAGTTTAGATAAGAAAACTCATGGACTTTCTCACTGGATATAGAAGTTGACAAAATAAACACAAGGGATAAGTGGTGTATAATTTGCTCTTATTTATAGAAACAGAATGAACTGATGTGATGAATAATCTTATGTGTCTGCAATTGTTCAGTAAGTGTAAAATGGCAGGAAACATTTTAACCACTAGCTTAAGAGATGTGAATGTGTTTCCAGAATGGCTTCCAAAATGACAGGTGCTTAGAAGAACTCTATAGTCTAGCAAACATTCATGGAAGAAAGCAGAACTCAGATAAGACTACAGTAATAACAAATGGTGACTGTCCACCACAGTACTCAGAGAAGTCTATCTTGCCAGCTGCAACATATGTAAGCCTGACCAAGGATCTCTAAATGGAGCTAGGAAACAATCCTACCTGAACCTCTGGGGAGTCACTGCCAACCAGAGTTGACAACACTGGATGGGCCAATGGGCTGACTTAATATATATGTATTTCTATGTTGGTGCATATGGCATAACCACAGAAGATGCCACCTGCACGTTGATGAGAATGATGTTGGCCATAGTTGTACCCCATGGCTGGTCCTACTATTAGGAGAAAGTGAGGTGACAGCTTCAGGCAGCAGATGCTGGGGAGCAGAGTGTTAACTTCCTAATTGTTTTTTGTGTGCCCAGCTGATCATATCTGCAGTGGACGGAGCTATGAAGTCCACACGACCTATTCTGGGAATCCTAAAGCAGCCTGCCCCTCCAAGTGTGACAGAGGCACAAGGGCTATGTCCATATTCAAGCTGCCAGCCAACAGCCTCTGAACATAGGGTGAGGTGGGCTGGGGGACAGATTGTTCTTCACTCCAAGCTGCAAAATATTTTGAGACAGCCTTCTTCTATCATTGTTATTGTTGTTACAGGATACCAGCTCTACCAGCAGTAAAAATTGTAACTAGAAGACTAGAAATGTCCAGGTTCAAAATCCCTGTAGTTTCTGACTATGATATTTTGTTCCTGTTGTATTCATTTTGTTTTTCAGTTTAGGTATCTATGATTTCTTTGCCTGACTTTAACTCAAAAGCAAATCTCAACACAACACACCAGTGTAAAGCAAGAAAATGCCATTTAGAAATCTGCTAATGGCCACTGACAACAACATGCTTCTCTAGTTCCTAACAATAAGGTTTCTAACTTTTTGTTTAGGGCCCCAAAGAATCAGATATAGCTGCATTGGTAAAGGTATTTAGACTTTACCAGGGATGAAGTGGGATATGGAGGGAGGAAGGAGAAGGTCTTTTTTTATCTTCCTTAAACCTTCCCTGCTGTGCTATGTAACCAATGTAGCATTTCATTAGTGCCAATTGGTGTCCAGCAGTTTCTGGAATTAAGAATGGGAAAAAAGGTTAATTTTTCTTTTTTTTTCTGCATGAAATTTTCCTGTGTTCTGCTGGTAGCTTTTCGGCTACATGCTGTAGCATGTATCTTTCTCTTCCTCAACTCCTAATCCCCACCTGAAGGATACTAATCACAAATGTTTCCTGCAGAAGAAATACCAGATTCAATCCCTGGAGCCTCCAGGTGTGACTCAGGAAGACACCTGCCTGAAGACCTGTAGACTGAGCTAGTCAGACTTAGGGGGAAAGTTGCTATATTAGACTACAACCTTTTTAGCCATCCTGGCTAGGAGGTTTGGAGAGCCAGAGTCCCAAGAAATAACTGTATCAAACTCTGGACTAAGTATACCAATGGCTGCACCCAAAACACACACACTACCAAAATATTTTTCTTTTCAAAATAGGCTTCTTCTTCTTCTTCTTCTTCTTCTTCTTCTTCTTCTTCTTCTTCTTCTTCTTCTTCTTCTTCTTCTTCTTCTTCTTCTTATTATTATTATTATTATTATTATTATTATTATTATTATTATTATTTACTCAGCCCTTCCTCTTGCCCTCAAACATTTTTAATTTACAAAAAACAAAACAAAACAAAAAATCCCTAGGGCATTGGAAGACCCTAGGGCTGCCTGCACCCCAATAAAATTATACCCCTCATCCCTAGAGGACACCAGAGGATGTTCTGAGCCTTTTGTTTTGTGGTTTCCCACACACACACACAAATTTTTGGGATGTAAATTGGGCTGATACACAGTGTGGTATAGTGGACAGAGTGATGGACAAGGACTCAGCAGGCCTGGATTTGACTATCCCTTCAGCCATAGAAGCTCACAGGGGGTGTGGAACAAGTAAAACTACTCCTTAAATATCTACTTTGAAAGGTCTACTTTGGATCACTACAAATTGGTTCCAACTTGACAACACATAATGAACACACAGACACACACTCACAACCTATGGGGTGGTGGCCTCGTCCAGTTCATGATCAACACTTTGTTTGCCCTGCCCTAAAACGTTAGTGTCATAAAAGATTCTGCATATCTCTAGAACACAATAATACTCTTTGACACTGTAAGCTTCTTCTTTGTTTTGTGTACTTGGTCACTTGAAGTACTAAGAATGGTGGACAACGAGCTTTTAAGTTTATGGTCATTTCTCTTGTTTATTGCTGTAATTGTTTTGTTTTGCTGGTGTGACAGCTGACTCAAGGTGTCAACGCACCTGATCAGA